GTTATGTTTTCTTATTTTCGGCAATTTTTAAAGGGCATTACGAAAGGACGCGAACTGGTGACTGGACGCGAACAGGCGAACTTACCCTACACACCTTTAAGAAATCAGCAACCAACATTCCTGGCTCTTTGCCAAACACTACATGAATGCGATGTAACTTATTTACTTGTTCTAACTTATATTGTTCAAATATGTATTCTCGACATTAAAGAGTAATTAAATATTAATAATTTGTGTGACGAAAAAAATCCTTTTTCATGTAGCTTAGCTATTCTGTGACTGTCAATTCGAACTTGAATCGCATTGTCGCCCGTCATTGGTCGATATTTTACTCACGACCAATGATATGGCGGACCGCGCTTGAGTTTACTTCGATCTTTCCAATCGAACGCCTAATATGTACTGGTGTAATTGTCTATGTAATATTGTGTTCTAAACGCATTCACGACACGAGGCAAAATCCTAGGCAAAGCAACGTTTTAATAAAAAAAAACATCAGTCGCCATTGACCTATTTTTGGTTGTAGTGCCTATCTGGCATTCAGTCAATATAGGTACCCCACGAGACTAAAAAAACATCAACATACTATAAAGTAGGCGTTCAAACGATACTACGTTTAATATCTAAGTGCGTCATTCTCTGGGGATAACATATGTTTACTATTAAGAGATATTGATAACATATTTGAGTTAATTTAGTTGCTATAATAAATATTTTATTTCACTGCACCATCTTGTGGCTGTCAGAGCATGTCCTAAGGCATTAAGTCCGCCATTCAATGCTGTGTGAAAAAGAAATAAATGAATAATAATTTCCTAAAAACTTCCCTCAGACAAAAACAAAGTGGCCATTTCTTGATACTGAACTGCATCAAACCAAATACAATTGCAGTCTGAAAATCTAGATGAATCATCACCTAGTCTATATACTTAATTGAAAACGAAACCAAGCATTAACAATACGTTTCAAAACACGCATCGACTAACGCAGTAATTAATCAATGAACAACTACTAATAAAATAATAATTAAATACAAATAAAATAATAACGACAAACTTTTTAAAACTATCGATGTGGATCGGCGCGCGCATCTGCGTGTGAGCACTTTTTATACGTTTTCAAACATCAGTATGTCGATACGTCGCGCTCCACGTACCCTATTGGAAAAAGCAGATAAACTATGATAATTAGATGTAACGTGTTCACGATAGAACAATGCATTCTCCAGCGAATCACGCTCTAAACCTGAAACAGTGACAACACTGGCCGCTCGCGTCTAGCCACCAATCTACGTTCACAAAACGGGGAACTAAAGATCTTAATATTTAAAAAAAATATTTATCTGTTAGACAACCTCGTTACTTATAAAAAAAAAAACAATAGTTCGGTAGCTTATTTTTTATTTCATAAAAATTAAGTTGTACTTTAAGGTTGAGTTTCGCTGTCTTAACTAAAGGGTCGATGTGACCCATTTTATTACCGTGCAGTTTTTACAAAGCTATTTTTTAACGTGAATCGTGTAATCGTGCAAAACTGTTGAGCCAGTGTGAATTCGGTGTGATGATGAATGTTCACGGGAAGACACGTCACAGGAGTTTGTATGGCACCGTGCGGTCTATGGTTCCATCTCGGGGTACGCCCATAACTCCAGGGCTTGAAGACTTGATGTACACGCCACCATATTTCTACCACATACCACCCCCACCGCAACCTCTCAATACTTATCCTGGAAGGAAAAAAAAAAAAAAGGTATGTTAGTAAATTATTTATGAAGCGAATTTTGAAGAGTTAAATGGACGAACAGCTTTTTATTAGATATTTCAAAAAAAATAGAATATTCTGTTACCAAAAACACGCAAACGTGTTAATTTTTGCACATTAACTTTATTTAGTAATCAATGCTATTAAAGTATGGTAAACTGACGTCTGTAGAACCATCGATCTCATATTTTTGACCTACATTCATAAAACCTGCAAAATGTCTTATTACATCCTAAATCCAAGTTAGCAGTTAAATTAAGTAGATTAACAAAAATACCTAATTGATGATTCTATCTCAATAAATTAAGTTAGTTATATTATTAATTAACTCGTCGAGTACCGGTTTTGTAGACACAATTATAGAACAATAGGTTGCGGTCACCGGTGACCGCTTGGTGTTTGACAGTTTAAGGTAGTGTAATTAAAACTAAAAGGGTACGATGGGGTTGGCATATCCATGTGGATAAAAACACCAAAATAAATAAATAGTAAAAATTATAATAAAAAACCAGGCACACTTTCCAGTTTCATGAATTGAATAAACATACATCAATAACAGCTTTGCATAAATAGGTGGGGCCCAGTAAAATGAATTTGCCCATTACTTCAAGCACAAAAGACTAACTTCTAATTAAGCCAACAAAATAAACACAGCATAGTAAAACCGTACTGTACAAATGTAATTGATCATTGTCAGCGTACTAGGAGCGCACAGCTGACAAGAGAAACAGCCGTCTTGACTGACTGACCAATTCATGATGCGTTTCATACCACCAATGAAATTCCTGGGACACTACTCTCCATAGCATTGTACTACAACATTGTTTTAAAGATCCATTTATTTTTTTACAAAAGTAATGTATTTTACCCAAAATTGGAGAGGAGTGTGGGAGAGCCATGCTTTGGCTCGAAGGGGCCGGCTCGACCGGAGTGATACCACGGCCTCACAGAAAACCGACGTGAAGCAACTTGCGTTGTGTTTTGTCGTGTGAGTGAGGTTACCGGAGGCCCAATTACCCTCCCCTTCCCCAATCTCCCCAATTCCTGAATTCCCAACGATCCTCAAACTCCTAATCCCTAAAAGGCCGGTAACGAACTTGTAACGCCTCTGGTGTTCCAGGTGTCCATGGGCGACGCCGATTGCTTACTATCAGGTGATCCGTCTGCTCGTTTACCGGCTTAAGCAACAAAAAAAAAAATCTCAAGTCTGAAGCTGCGATGAGAAATATTTAACCAGACCCTTTCTTTTGGTCTATTGTATTTCTAATCTTATTAGACAGTCTATTTTCTACATTTGGACTTGCTAATTAATAAATTGGGCATCATCAGCCCTTTAGCTCTCATCAGCCCAATAGCACAATTCTGAGCTCTATGATCTTCAACTATTCTAAATAACCAATGCGTTTTCGCGATTTTGATTGCATGACTCCATCGCGCTGGAGAGTGCTATAGGGAACGTAAAAATAGGTACATAAAATTAATCTGTTACGTACTTCTACCGTCGTAACAGCGTGGCATCGCTGTCTTCCTTGTGGATGGCATGAGCAGTAGCGGTACGATCCTGCTCCGGATGACGATGTTCCTTTATCCAGTACTGCATTGCCTTATACGACATAATAAACGACACAGAAAAGAAAAGAACGTCGTGGACTATTGGAAACGATCTACCCATGATTTGAAATTTTGAGCTATCGTGCGTTTTATTTCAAGTGTGCAACGCATTAGCGTAGCAGTTTTATCCGGGATAATTTTGTCATCTTCTTTACAAATATTAATTTTGACGTTTAAGTCAACATCTGTCAAGATTACAGCAATGTTTTATTTATTTTTTTGAATTTTTTGTATGTGGACTAGATGATAGATCAGACAGGAGACAGCAACCTCTTTTGCTTCCATCATATGCATGTAGGTATGAAAGTACATCTATACTTACAAGATATTATTTTCAATAAATGTGCCAACAGTTATTGAGGACCTTAGAAATATTGGAAAACTATTGCTAAATTAAAACCACAAGAAGATTTTGTTAAATATCTAATAGAAGAAGTTTTGTAAATTCACTTATTTTCCAATCCGTACAAAAATATAACATCTAACTAGCTACTACAAATACTACCAAAGTCTGATTCGTTCGTTTGTATTTTTGTATTTACGTTAAGCATAATCTTCTATAACAGCAACACCACTACTACTAACCTGTTAATTTCTTACAACTTCTCAAATGAAGCAATTTTATTTAGGTCATCAAGGTGAATGTTCCAGGGTAACCCGCGAAATAAAAAAAACATAAAATCACTCCTTTTATCCCCGAAGGGGTAGACAGAGGTGCACATTACGGCACTTAAATGCCACTGTACAATGTAACATTCACTTTTCACTATTTATGTTATGAGTCCCATGTACTAGGGGGTGAGCCTATTGCCATATACCGGGCACAATTCCAGACATCATACTACTATTGAGGTTTTTTTTAAATCCATTAATTCTTTGCCCGACCCTAGAATCGAATCCGAGACCCCTTGCCTGGCAGTCGCACTAGCGAACACTCGGCTAACGAGGTAGTTAGTATTATACATATTTTAGCGGTAGGTACATTTGTTAAAGTTCGCGGGTTACCGTGGATCTTAACTCGTCGAGTACCGGTTTTGCAGACACAATTATAGAACAATAGGTTGCGGTCACCGGTGACCGCTTGGTGTTTGACAGTTTAAAGGACAGAACTCAAAAATAAACCCGGACGCTGCTCAAACAAACCGTTACTCATATTGCACATAATCATAAGTGATTCAATATTTACTACATTGAGGCATAATAGATAAATGTTCGATGTTACTATTCGTATGAAGTACGGAACACAACCAATATATAAAGAAATTAAAATCAGAATGTTTACTATTGTAACCCACAGTTTGTTATACGCCTATTTTTGGCGCCCGGGTATATCATTGCTTTCGCTACAAAATGCGGACTATCATAAACATATGCATTATCCTTTAAAGCATGATACTTACAATTTTCTACATTCATTTTAATTTAGTGTGTATCATTAATTATATAATTAAACCGGTCATTAATATATTTATATTTTTTTATTCATACCAATAACACCAGAACTCAGGAAAAATAATAATTTTGGCTTATTTTCATTCATCATAAGTGATATAAGTCAAAAAATATTTTTGTCCAGCTAGCATGTTCTAGTCGACACACTGTGCCATGATTTGAAATTTTGAGCTATCGTGCGTTTTATTTCAAGTGTGCAACGCATTAGCGTAGCAGTTTTATCCGGGATAATTTTGTCATCTTCTTTACAAATATTAATTTTGACGTTTAAGTCAACATCTGTCAAGATTACAGCAATGTTTTATTTATTTTTTTGAATTTTTTGTATGTGGACTAGATGATAGATCAGACAGGAGACAGCAACCTCTTTTGCTTCCATCATATGCATGTAGGTATGAAAGTACATCTATACTTACAAGATATTATTTTCAATAAATGTGCCAACAGTTATTGAGGACCTTAGAAATATTGGAAAACTATTGCTAAATTAAAACCACAAGAAGATTTTGTTAAATATCTAATAGAAGAAGTTTTGTAAATTCACTTATTTTCCAATCCGTACAAAAATATAACATCTAACTAGCTACTACAAATACTACCAAAGTCTGATTCGTTCGTTTGTATTTTTGTATTTACGTTAAGCATAATCTTCTATAACAGCAACACCACTACTACTAACCTGTTAATTTCTTACAACTTCTCAAATGAAGCAATTTTATTTAGGTCATCAAGGTGAATGTTCCAGGGTAACCCGCGAAATAAAAAAAACATAAAATCACTCCTTTTATCCCCGAAGGGGTAGACAGAGGTGCACATTACGGCACTTAAATGCCACTGTACAATGTAACATTCACTTTTCACTATTTATGTTATGAGTCCCATGTACTAGGGGGTGAGCCTATTGCCATATACCGGGCACAATTCCAGACATCATACTACTATTGAGGTTTTTTTTAAATCCATTAATTCTTTGCCCGACCCTAGAATCGAATCCGAGACCCCTTGCCTGGCAGTCGCACTAGCGAACACTCGGCTAACGAGGTAGTTAGTATTATACATATTTTAGCGGTAGGTACATTTGTTAAAGTTCGCGGGTTACCGTGGATCTTAACTCGTCGAGTACCGGTTTTGCAGACACAATTATAGAACAATAGGTTGCGGTCACCGGTGACCGCTTGGTGTTTGACAGTTTAAAGGACAGAACTCAAAAATAAACCCGGACGCTGCTCAAACAAACCGTTACTCATATTGCACATAATCATAAGTGATTCAATATTTACTACATTGAGGCATAATAGATAAATGTTCGATGTTACTATTCGTATGAAGTACGGAACACAACCAATATATAAAGAAATTAAAATCAGAATGTTTACTATTGTAACCCACAGTTTGTTATACGCCTATTTTTGGCGCCCGGGTATATCATTGCTTTCGCTACAAAATGCGGACTATCATAAACATATGCATTATCCTTTAAAGCATGATACTTACAATTTTCGTTTGGGTTCTTCTCTTACTTTCTTATTTACATTTTATATCATCATCTGGAGGTTTCTCTTCCAGATCTCGATGGGAGTGCACACTAACGTGGTCAATGACGCTCTGGAAAAATTTGTACGAAAGAAAAAATGACACTGATAACTGCGCCAGGTCTTTCAATAAATAGCTGGGATATGTTCCTCCCATTTCAATGGCTTTGTAACTATATTTGGTTTTGTTTAGGTTATTTACATAATGGCTTTGGATGATTATCGCTGCACGATTTTGATTGATTTCTTGTCAAATTGATATACGTAAAAAAGTTGCTAGCGTAAAAATATTTAGACGTTTCTTCAAGAAGACTGAGCATTTTATTTTAATGCAGCTCTGATATAAAACTCCCATATCTCATTAATATATTTTTATATATAATTGAGGTATGCAGGGAGGTTGACAACAATTATTTAGAGAGCTCTCGATTGAAAATAATGTTTGGATGTTTTTTTGTGGGTGGAAAGTCATCTAATGGCTTCTCCCGCTTTGGGGTCTTCTAACTACTCCGTTCCTACTTCTGCTCTTCGGGCCGGAGCTTCGGAAACCCGTTATATCTTCCGCGGTTCCATATTGGCCCTACTGAGCCCTATCTGTGGTGGCTTGAAGCGCGCGCGGAACGCGACGCGCCTTACGTTGGGTCTGGCTCTGGTCAGGCGGTGAGCTCTCCTTGCTCATCGTCCGCAGACCCGTGCCTACGGTGCCCGGAGATCGTCTCGCGATCCCTGACACCCGGAGTGTCTTTTGCGATGGCTGGGGCGTAAGGAGGATAGTTCTCTCACGCGCCCCACCTCCTCCTTAGTATGACTGCTCCACACATGGAAGAGAGGTCACCATCGCCCACCACATCCCTGAGAATACGGCGATGCTCAGCCCATACAGGGTACTTACATCGCCACTGTATGCTCTACCGTGTCTTCTTCCCGCCGAATCCAAAACAGGTACTTTCCGAAACTTCCGAGTCTGGTAAGCACCTGCGTAAAGCGGTGGATGAGATCGCTATGTCGTCTCTCAAGCCACTCCCCAAAGAGGGGACTTACTGCAGCAATGATCGCCAGCCTAAGTTTTTCGATGCTTGGAGACAAAATTCAACATGACATTCACAGACAAAATACACATAATCACGCCTGTCTCCCATGAGGCTAGCCAGAGACTATGGAACGCCGATAGCTAAGAATCTTGCATACCTCTTTCGCTTCATTAACAAAATACGCAAAATTCAAAACGGCATTAACACCGAGACACGTACAATTTGTCTGAATCGGAATCCTATTTATTTACGCAAGCATCCTCATTTGTGAAATATTATTTGTGTTATAGTGTATTTACGAATATTATGCGATTTCTTGACCTTTAAAAGTTTTGTCTGGATAATTTGTGCATTAGGTATCTTATAATTATAACACACGACGACTTTTTCAATGGCTTTGGATCACTGTTACTTTTAAGTGCACTCTGTAAAATCAGATTGTTGAGTGTTGTTGCCTGCTGTATAACAATTGCTTTCGCTTTAAAATGCACACGATCATCAAAAAATATGTATTATCGTTTAAAGCATGATACTTACAATTATCGGTTGGGTCCTTCTCATACTTTTTTACATTTGAAGTCATCGTCTGGAGGATCATTTTCCAGGTCTCGATGGGAGTAATAACTAACGTGTGCTATGACGCTCTGGAAAAATTTGTACGAAAGGTAAAATGACGCACCTAGTTGCGCCAGGTCTTTCAATAAATAGCTAGGATTTAATGGCATTTTTAGGGCTTTTTAATTATTGTATTTGGTTTTGTTTAGGTTATTGACATAACGGCTTTGAATGGTTTACGGTGCGCGATTTTGATTGATTTGCTGTCAAATTCATAAACATAAAGTGGTTGCTAGCGTAAAAATATTGAGACGTTTCTTACCCAAGAAGACTGAGTATTTTAATGCAGCTCTTTGGCATCTATGATATAAAAATCCCATATACCATTCATATACCTATTTTTTTAAATAATTGAGAGAGTTGGATGCGTGCACAGCAATTTATTGAAAGAGAATAATGTCGATCTAAAATTGTGTTTGGATGCTTAGAGGCAGAATTTAAGTGCGACATAAAATATTATTTTGTTTGTATTTTGGTTGACCGCTCTTTGCGGTAGGAAGTTGGCAGTGTGGACAAGAGAATTTGTAGCTAAGTTATACTAGGCTGCTGTGGTAGCAACTTAAATTTAATTATTCGAAATTGCCTGCCTAGCCCCCGTAAGTAAAATATTATAAATTAAACATTCAGTAAGTCAGTTTGTTTTTTGTTTAATTTGTTGAACATCTACAATTAAATAATATTATTTCCACCTAAAGAAAACATTATTTATTAATTTACGATGCACAAATTTTGTAGTTTGATTTCGATTTTACTAAATATTTCGCATTACTATGCAAAATTTGATTTGTGCTCGCTCATCATAACAAAAATCTATCTATTTTTTAGGCACAATTTTAATGTACGTTTGGTAATAACGTCCTATTCATTCATTTCCGATGTCTTCAGTGCGCCGCGTAACTGCGGCGCGAACGCCGCGTATTAATTTACCCTTGCACTGAGACGCCGCGACAAGACGACGTCTGCGCGACGTCCGGCGCATACGTTTATCAAACGCCTACGCTGGACAAACGCCAGTGTGAAAGCGCTCTTAGAAATATAATATTCGATTTGTGAAATATTAGGATACATATTGTATTTATACTAAGTAATTTGGATAAATAGTGTGATTCGGGATTCCTTGACTTTTTACAAGTTTTTTTTTTTAATTTGTCCAATATCTTATAGTTATAACACACGACGACATTTTCTATGGCTTTGTATCACTGATACTTTTAAGTGCACTCTGTACTAGGTGACGTGCGTCTGTTAACACTACTAGCAAAGTAACGCTGAAGTTAACTGTAGACAGGTATCCACATTGTAACGTGCCACTTTCTGAGCGATTATAACCTATTTACACATTTTTAATTGGGATTTATTGACTGATATTTCGTCCGTCTGTATCTTGTATCTACGCTAAGAATCTTCTATCACAGCCATGGCATACATCGACAATAATTACTACTTTTAAGGGGAGAACATCATCGAATGGCTTATACCGCCTGGAATTACTACTAACCTGTTAATTTCTTACAACTTACAAATGAAGAAACTTTATTTAGGTCATTAAAGGACAAGGCTCAAAGAGAACCCCGACGAAATTTTGCTCAAATTGATATTCGGGACTAAATAATTACTTACCTACTACTACTACATTGAGGCATTATAACTAAATGTTCAATGTTACTATTCTAACACTATTCAATGCATAATTAAACTTGCTTCTTGACTATTGTTGCCCGCAGTTTGTTATACCTTTTGTGGCGCCCGGGTCTATCATTGCTTTCGCTACAAAATGCGCGCTATCGCCAAAAATATGCATTTTCTTTTAAAGCAGGCCTTAGTACGAGTTTCATTTACGTTTAAAGTATTCGTAACGAGTACGCATTCGGCACTCTGATTGGCCGGCGCCAATGAACCAACCAATCAGAGCACCGAACGCGTACTCGTTACGATTAATAAACTAAACGTAAAACAAACTCGTACTAAGGCCTCAGAATACTTACAATTCTCGTATCGGTCCTTCTCATACTTTTTTCATTTCATATCATCAGCTGGAGGTTTTTTTTCCCGGTCTCGATGGGAATGGTCACTAACATGGTCTAGGACACTCTGGAAAAATTTGTACGAAAGATAAAATGAGACCCCTAGTTGCGTAAGGTCTTTCAATAAGAGGAAGCCATGGTCGGGACCCCGCATTTCTGTGGCTATTGTATTTGAATTTGTTTGGTTAATGGCATTATGACTGTTGATGGTTTTCACTTCACGATTTTGATTGATTTGTTGTCAAATTGATATACGTAAAAAGGTTGCTAGCGTAAAAATATTTCTAAACGTTTTTTATCCAAGAAGACCGATTTTTTAGCAATATAAAGGACGAAAATATAAAAAAACCAGAAGTAAAGCAAACATAACGTATCACAAATTGTACCCAGATGCGATAATTATGTAAATATTGAATATAATAATGATAATAGTTTAATTCTTAAACAAGCTCAAATAAGTAGTATAATACAGACTTACGAATCAGACTAAGCAATTGTGTTATAATAATTTATCTGCGCCCAAACTAGGTGTGAGCACATCGACCATTCTCCGACATTCTTTGCCTAATTATCATGGTCTTTATATTTTTCACTCATTTAACGTAAATACATTAAAATATGTAACAAATCAATGATAAAATGAAATGAAAAATCCAAGAATAAAATTGACATAAAATATATTTTCTAAAAGTGTTCTATGAGTTTTAGAAGAATTTGTGCACGATAATAATAGAAACTGAAGTTTAGTCTTCCGTTACTAATACACAAATAATTTTATTATAATTAACGTAGTGGGCTTAATGAAAACCAGAACCAATAGTAAAAAAATGCATTTTCATTTAAATATTTATTAAAAAAAAACAATGCAATCAGATATGTACAAATAAATACCTTTTTTTTCTAGTTTAAGCTATAAAAATTCTCTCTTTTTTTAGAGTTTTTTCGGTTTTTGGGTGGTAACATTTGGCAAAAGGGAAATGCTATACTGAACTGAGTATAGCTATACTGCTGACCAACTGCCTCTTCTCATACGGAGAAGATTTGATCATCAATCACCAAGTTTGCTCAAGGCGGGTTGGAATATGATAATATTACAGAATAATCAAGGCAGGATATGTAAAATTTACTACTCGGAGAATGAAAAACATTACTCACAAAAATTATTACACTAACAAAAGCTACCTACCAGAAAAGGAGGAATATTCAACATCGATAGCTAAATGCTATAGAAATTACGATCATCATTCCTTTAAACGTTGACTGTTGCAGTGCTACCGACAATTTGTGATACAATACCTTTGCCCAGTTTGTTTTCCATACATAGCGACCAAAGTCATTTATCCAGAAATTCCTAAAACGTGGCACTCACAATTTATTGGTTCTCCTTCTCAAACGCTTTTCATTTATTACAACATCCACAATCGGCTTTTGGATCTTCACCGTCTGGTGGATCAATAAAGTCAAAGACAATGCTGAAAAAATTGTACGATATACCACATGCTATTGAAAATTGCAACGCGTCTTTTATTACAAACGGACTTATGCGATGCATTTCTATGATTTAGTAATTTATACGGATCTGTTTGGGCTATGAAACCATTATTAAGGTTTTGGATAATACAAATTATCACTGATATTACTACACGATTTTGATCGATTCGCTGTCATCTTGATATGATTATAGGGGGTTGCTAGATTAAAAGTATTACGACCTTTTTAGACAAGATCTGTCCAAGAATATTGTGATATTAATTTCGTTCTGAAGTTTAAAAGTTATTATAATTGCATTAATACTTTTTTTAGATTTTGAACACGTTTTGAAAAATAATATTAATTTTATAAAATATCTTATACGGATGACAAAATACCGAATCTGATTGATTAAGAACACGACACAGAACGTATGGGAGTCAACATAACATAGATGGTGAAAATTTTGCAACATTAATCTAGTGCACTTCTGTCTAAGTATTATAACTTCCATTTAAAAGTTTTGCAGGCCCAAATTGTGGGCAGAATAAGAGAGGCCTTATTTATAAATGTAAACACTGTACACCTTGTTCAGGCAAATAAATTATATTTGATTTGATTTAATCTTTCAAGAGCTAAAACAATATTATGCTGAAAGTTGAAATATAAGTTATTATCTTCACACTTTACTAATATTTGAGGCAGTTAATTATATCGAAAACACATTTAGATGGAGAGAACTCGAAAAGTATTATTACTGCCCAGTTCAATTATAAGTATCAACAGTTTGAGGAAACCTTCATACAAGGAGTCTCTCCAGACGTGGGTTATGATCCAGATATAATTAATGTACAAATTAATGTATGAATCATAATTAAGGTATGCATTTCTCAATATCTACAAATTGCACAGAAGAACTAAAGTTAGCTAGGTTTAAGGCTGGAGAAAATAGAAGGAGTAATACTTATAAAGCGCCATCAGTCATCATCATCATCATCGTCAACTGCTAAGCCATCCTCTCTTCTTCTTATGGGATATCCAGTGACTGTATATGATGAATATTGATGAATAACTTCTCTCATGCAGGCATATCCAACAATGAAGGACGATCCAAAACAGAAAAAGTCATACAGTTTATCTGCTATAGTCATGTTTGAATTTCTAAGGATTATTGCAAATTGTGGTTACTTATAATTTAATGTTACATTTTTGTTTATGAGTGCTCCATTTTATTTGGTTAACAGCGTTGTCTTTGACACTTTGCTGTGTCAGTATCTTACGCTGTCAGTTACTATTGACAACTGTTCTTTTTGGACTACGCTCTAAACGCAAAGTGAAACGGAATATTAATAGTGTGAGTTCTGGGCATTCATCCTTTTTCATGAAAAGGCCATAGCCAAAGAGTATGGTATGTGTAAGGGAGGCCATAGCTAAGGTTGTCTAACTTTTTTTTACGGACTCTACAATCTCACCGCCCTCCTGATTGAAAGCTGACCATGGCCTATTGGATACTACTCGTGTTTTTGAGGGGAGAATATCCAATGACTTTTCCTGCCTTTAGTGCGGCGAGAGAGTGACAGACTTAACCACCCCGTTACAGTACCGTACAGACGTAACTACTCTTACGGGATGCTACCCTACTATGATCAAGTGGTCAGACAGAAACAACAGAATTTCGGCTTTATGTAGTCGGCCAGATTATGGATTATTGAAATTCTCATCAATACCCCTTGGCCCCATGTATAGGACTCATAAATCAACACTTCTCTTACCAGAAGTATTATATCCATTTCAATATGTATTGTACACTTTCTAAAATCTATTTACCTATATAAAACTCTTTCGTTACTGAGTGACTGAGTGACTGACTGACAGAACGCACTGCCGATTTTATAATCTATGTTCTTTTCATAACTATTTTTACCTACATTATGGGTATCAGACATATCGAATGAATTAGTAGAATAGAGCTTAATAAACTTTAACAAAAAAAGAAAAGATTGCCTACTTGTTTACCCACTATGTTGGTAAGGTAACGACCTGTTTGATGGAAAGCAGATACCCGGTAGCCTATACGTCTGCCACAAGGTGTCGCTAGTATATGGAATCCGAAGCATGATATATACCAAGTTCCATAGCTCCAAACGCCAGCACTGCTAAACCATCAAACGTTAATATATTTTCAACTTTATGTCACAAACTATAGAGTTAAAGATGAGCGTTTGGTATTGGTATTACTTCACATGACGTCCATTGAGCCAGCATGCATACTATTTCGAGTCTCTTATCATTTACAGACAACACGTTGTGGCTGTGATCTCGTTTTTCTGTGGGCGTCAACTATTTATCGGCACCATGAATCATACCATCAGCGTGGCCGTGCCACAGTTTCATTTCAATCAGTTACATAAATTATTGGGATTTCCGATTACCTACGATCATTCTGACATAAAAGTATAATTAACATAGTTAGGACTACTAAAATAACAAAAGATAATATGCCAACATAACATATACTGCATTCTTAAAGGAACATTATCATCATTGTAGCCACAAGAAGTTCCTGCAGAACATAGACCTCCCAATGGCTTTTAGTCAACGTCAGTCGGTTGGAAGCCATCTGCATCCAGCGGCTCTCTACGACCTGTATCAGGTTATCAGCTACGTTCTACGCTACGTTTGCTGATACATGATCCACTGATCCACTGTTTCCCATACTATGTACCCTACCCACTACCACCTCAGTTTGCTAATATCCCATATCAGCGACTAGGAAACTTAAACTAAAACGTGATCGGTTATTACAAAAACACTATTTAATAACTTCATTTAATAACTGCTTATACTTGATACAGTACCAACATAATAGAAATAAGTGTACGTATGTTCATCGTCATATATTACCTCTCGATATAATAGGTGAGTGTATAAATTATGTAAAGTACAAAATAAACACAAATGACATCTTTCCACCTTATGGCCGATTGTATGCTTATCACATTTTCGTACAATGAATGTCCGTTCATGAGTTTTCACTGTTTGTGTTACCACTGTGTAGAATATCCAAAGTAGCTGCGGATCTGGGCACAGGATGCGTATTTCCCTCTGTCCTGTTTTCTTTAGATTCCATTTTGGCACTACTTGTATTTCTCCTCGGTAGCGAGGGAGTAGGCACTGTAAACATTCCGTACGAATAAGCAACACCAACGCTCATTGTTACTACTATACAAAAAAATTTTAAATGTTCCAATGTGTTCATGTTAACGTCTTGAATCACTTAATTTTAAACCCATAACAGTGTCCAAAAATATTGTGTGAAAATACGTCTATCTGTATTTTTTTCTTGCTGTCAATCATTTTCTTCGAAAATTTGACGTTTGTCCTCGTTGTCATTTTTTTTTCGTTTTCAATTTTGTTTATGGTTTACTGTTCTGAAAATTTGTAAAGAGGTTATTATCTATAGTTATCTATCTACATCTATACCACTAATATTTTAAAGAGAAAAGATTTGATTTTATTTCTTTGAATTGATTGGTCTCCGAAACTACTGCACCCATTTGTTCTTTCGTTGTTTTACCATTGGAGTCCTACATTATCCCTGATGAACACAGAAAATTTCGATAACCCAATGTGTAACTACTACAAAACTTCTCCTATATTGCTTACGATGTGGAAATTATAGACAATTGAGCAATTGTATGTCTAACTATTACAGTTATGCCACAATAACTAAATTTATATCTAAAAACGTGCAATAGTAACGTCGCACCGATACATACCTACCAGACCACATTATTAGTACCAGACTAATGTCCCGAAAATCCTAGAAGAACGAGAACTTTGTGTTACAAGTGGTACGTTGAGTTGAATCAACGTCCTTGGTGTAAGAGCAACTGTCTACGTTGAGTCATCTTACTTTTAGTACTCCCACAATGTAGGAGTCTGGTGTGGAGCAATAATAGAATCGCAAAACACAATATCCCACTAACCTTTCTTTCTTCATTTTATCTACTCATTGTAGTTTAAATAAATATGATACGCGATGCCGCTGTTGCGAAAGTCACCGCTTAAGATAATTATGCCTACTTAATAAAAATTGACTTATACAAACACAGATTACAACTAAAACTTTAAAAAGATAAAGAAATAAACCATTTAGGGATTATACGAAAAATTAATAATGTCAAAGTTTGTCAAAACTCCGATTTTGAAGTTTTTGATAGCCTATTGATAAAGTAAGATATATCTAAGGAGACTTGTCTGAAAAGGTTTATTTATGGCCATGAGATCATAAATAATGAGGTCTAAATGAGGAATAGCAAGCGTTAGTAATAGTTTGAAATTATTACAAAAAACCAACTAAAGTCGTATGCATGCAAGTTTTAAAGATGAAAATAGACCAGTAAAGAAAACGAATAGGTATAGGTACCTTCTTAACTGCCTCCTAGCTTATATATAATTAGGTTTTTAATTTTTATCAAGTTCATACCATTCAGTACCTAATAAGGTATCAGATCAGCATAACAGTGACTGATCCTCTGAGATCACATAAGTTTTGACAATAATATCAATAGAGCGAAATGTACTTGTTAACAATATTTTAATAAAACTAAAGCTTGATTAGTTGCTGACTTTATTTTAGAAAAATTTTAGGATAAAATTATTTTGCGCGTCCAGGACATGGTTTTGGTTTTGTGTAGGGTTTTATAGGAGGGCAAGGATCCATGGGGCAATCCCCGGGCTCGTCAGTTTCTACTAAATTTGAACAATCGTTAGGTGGACTGAAAACTCCAAATGCATACGCTGTTCCCAATACATTTGCTAGGATAACGCCAAGAAAAAGATGAAAATATTCTCGTTTCCTCGGCGCATAGAATCTTTCAGGATTCGCATTCAAGCGAGCCTGTAACATGTTACGATTGTGTATCATCCCTGTTAACCGATAGAGACGAGTCGGTTTGATTCCGTCCCACATTTTGGAAAGTCTCTTTGGTGGATAATTTTTCGAATTTGGGAGTTTTGGATTGTACAAAATTAGAAGTTCTGGTGTGTGTTACTTTTGGCCATTAGGTCTTTGATTTCCTGTTGTGGAAACCTGAAAAGTGTTTAAAGTTTATTTTGCTATTGA